TCAGACTGCTTTTAGCCATACTAATATGCAGATCATGCAGTTCCTGTAAAGTTTAAAACCTACAACAAAACACAAAATTTCCGAAAATATCTGTCTTACAGAAGAAAAAGAATAGCATGTCTATGTCCAGACCACAAAGAAATGCCTCTATCCACTGTTTTTAAAGCCAGACCGAATGATCAGGTTTTGAAAACGTCACCTTGGAAGCATTATTTTCCATTTCTGCATCTGGATTCACTAAGAGCGTATCCTATTATTTTCAAAATAAGCATATTCCCTGTTCCCTTTACATGAAACTAGTTTCTAGCTTCTCTTCCTTTCCAATGTGCTTTACAACTTGTTTAGCAAAAAGAACTCCACCTAAGATATTCCCTCAACAAAAATTCTTTGAAAACAACACTTTCTTCTGTTCTTTCACATTTTTAAGAAAGCTAAGGCCTTAAACGAGTCTTTCATTTAACAATATTAATGTTAACTGTGGTGGATAACTACTGGTATTTAACAATATGATAGTAACTAGTAGATTGCTAATGATATTCTTGCACCATTTTCTTTCCTAAGAGGTTATCTTCCTTAGGTACTTGTATAGAGGCTTAGCTACCGGAGATCGTCCCACATGCGATCAATGTCTTCGGATTCATGAAAAATTGACAGAGAAAGCAGGACTTGGTTGCATCCTACGTTTCCTGACTGATACTGTAAATACAGTTTGATTTCTGAACTACCTTTATATTTTTAAATTTTTGTTCTTTTCCTTTGGTGTTTTTGATTTTTCTTGTCTATGCAAGACTACAGCAATCAATGTAGTGAAGTATCAGGGATTGTTGGATTCAAAGTAATATGAACTTTACCTTTTCGATACTCATTGAAAAATCTGAAACATCAAAGCACTTTTAGAGGAGCTTCTGACTTCATAACTTACCTCCAGCATTGTCACAAAACACATTTTTCCCTGACCTATAGAGTTTTGAATTACTTTTGGAGAACTTCAATACATTTTGATTGTAAAACTATAATAAGGCAAAACAAGGCAAAAGAGTCATTAACTGAGAGGGCGTTCGGTCCAGAATAACTAACACCTAATTGAAGGATAAGGAATAATATTAGAAGGATCCATTTGAAGAGAGAGGTGGAGAAAAGTTGTTGGAAAGGATCCATTCTATCTCTCTCGAGATCTTCCTTTTGTCATACAATTTTCTCCAATTTTCTTTTCCTTGTTCTGCATATTTTACTGTCAATGTTTGGTAACACGGATTTTTCCCAAAATGAGAATGAAGTGCAGTACCATTACAAAAACATTACAAAATGAGTAAATGAAGGGACTTTTCCTTGTTGTCTTACTGTTTTTTCTTCTTGTTGCTGGACTGTACCCCATTACAAAAACATTCTTAAGTGGATTTTGTAAGTTGGCAAATTCATTCTTTTATTTTGCTTATTTTGAAAATTTAATTGCAGCTTATGTAACATCCCAAAAATACAGTGTAAAACCATATATGAGAGTCATCACATGTTAATAATAATACATATCACGATATACTATTATGGCCGAACGACTTTACTTAATAGCAGGGAATTAAAAACTAAGGCTAGTTACTACTAGACCGAACGTTTTTACAAAATACATTAATATCGCACGATCTTTACAAAAGAGAAAGCCAACACTAGACCGAACGCTCTCAAGGTTCGGCCTTCACTTCCGTTATGTCTTCCAACAGCTCATCTCCTTCTGCTCACATCCACACGGATGATCATTGCAACAGGACAACGACAGGACGTACAACACAGACAAAAATGATAAACAGGGTAAGCTTATGTAATTTAATTTATTCAATCACAACATACAACATATAACAAAACCAACAACGACCACATCATAATTCATACATCCATGCATGCAAAGAACGACCACATGACTCTGACTATCTGGACTGTATGAATCTTGTGTAGCTACGACGTTCGTGCATCCGGGTGATGTAGTAACTAGGATACCTTCAACAGCTGCTACCCGAGGTTGATCCGTTCCGTCCAAGTTAACCTTATGGACTAGGACTTCCTGTCATTCCCACACGTGACTTACTCCTCTCTACATGAGAACGAGTAATCGTGGAATATTAGGATGAACGCCCGCTAAGCTTTGCCCACATTCATACTTTACCAATCAATAACCACTTTCTAAGATATTCCTCCCTGGAATACTCGTTCATAATCAAACTATTTCATACACATCACATTTCAAATTCTCTCATACTTTATCATCCACATATTCAAATGAAATAAGATCATACGTTCTTATCATAGCCCAAGTACGACTGGTATAACGCTTCTTAGAAACTAACAAGACTGAGCGCTACTCATCTACTTTAATAAACAAACTCCTAAGAGTTCAAACCGAACGCCACAAAGCCTAGGCCGAGTACTAAGACTCTAGGCCGAACACCTTTTTAAAGACCAACACTGAATTATACTAAGTAATAATACTGATGAGAAACTATGAATTAACGAACGCTATCTAGTTTGAATAAAGACTCTGATTCTAAGCACAATAATACTATATTACAGAAACCAAACACTATTGAACGAGCGCTAGTCCAAGACCAAGTGCTTATCAGGAACGAGCGCTACTGAGACTGAAAGATTGGTCCAAGACCGATCGCTAATAAACTCACAGAAAATGAATGAATATATATATACAATTGAGCCACCACTTATTCTGAATGAAAAGAACGATAACGTTTACGACCTTGAGTAGTATATGACACGTTAACTAAACTGTTCAGGAAGTCTAAAGGAGAACTACACTTAGGCTGATCACTCATATTTACATTCTAATATTATAACACGCTCGTTATTACCGTAATTCCTTGTATAAGAGAACCTAATATAGACGGACGCTCGACCAGATTACTACCTTTACTCAAAATACTACAGTTGACGATCAATCCCTATCTCAACTCAATTCACCACATGCATCATTCATCCATCCACACGTCCAAACAAGCAGTGCACGCATATCTCATATTCATCAAAGAAATCAAACAACGTATCATGCAAACATGCCAACATTCAAACAAGAATTTAAATCAAATTATATAATCTTCCCTTACCTCTAAGCGTGACCTAATGTTCACAATTTGAACAGAATGGCTCACCACCAATTTCTTAGAAGACTACGATCACGATTTACGAAACTAACCACATGAAAGACCAGAAAGGCGTTCAAAAATGGGTTAAGGAACTCATGTAACTGGAAACTGAGTTTGCATGTACAGAGAAAAACCACTCGGCTGTGAGAGGTGAACTTACCAGTCCAGAATCTGAAACTGATCGGTTCAAACAAACGCCCTCGACGCCGGGAGTGTTGAGATGGTGTCTGAGTGGTGATCAGAAGAAGAAAAGATTAAGATTTCTTAGAGAGAAGTAGGAGATTTTTGAGAGAAGGAGGAGAAAATGAAAGTTCAGAACTTTGGGTAAGAAGGGTGCATGCAGAAGTGGCGTGCATTTTTGAAAACTTTGAGTTTTGCTTCTACCGTCAAAACCGAACGTCCAATCTGCATTACACACCTGTCTTTTACTGGCTGATTTTCGAATCTCCTTCCTTGACATATATAATCCACTAAGATGGAGTTTTGAGTGAATTTTAATGGGTCTGACAACTTATGTGAGATTATATCTATCTGAGTTTTACGTAACATTATATCACTTGAAATAATAACATGAACGAAATTAATTCAGAAGAAATAAAGAGTATAAGAAGACTATATTAATTACACCTACACCTCCATCTCCATCTCATTTTTTTAGCTTATTTTCTAGATATTTCAGCTATCCAAGGGACAATTTTTGTTTTACTTTTAAAAGGTGTAATCCCCAAATTATCCATGTATTTAATTAATATATTACAGCCATAATCAAGCACATACCCTATTTTGCTGATTTACTACGTATAATCAATTTTTTTAAAAACAATACTCAAACTTATTGGCGTAAACAATAAAGTTAAACAGATAAAAAGTTATTATAATTTATTATAATTGTAATGTATTATCAAAATAATCTAACATGTCTAGAACACACTAAGGAGAGCTGTTAGTGCTTTTAATGCCTAAAGAATTGTGTAACCTCAGCAGAAAAAGTAAAGAAGAAAATGAACTCACATACACATTACACTGAACATCGACACTTGGTAACTGCTAAATAGGCTTTATATTACTATATGTTAGGTAATATTATCTTTAGCAGGAAACAAGAGCTTAAAGTGGAACAAATAAATAGTTGAAGGGTTGTTAGTTGATCAAATTTCACACGGCACCAGCCACACAGACAAATTCTTTGTAAACCAATCTGATAATAAAACCAAAAACCAAAGTCAAATCCAAAAGGGAAACACTCTCAAAAACAGCATTGGCCAAAGTTACAACTTGAAAGTTGTAGCCATGGCTCTGATATGGTCCATGATGCTACCTTTAATCATGCTTGTTAGTTACTTCCCTTTGAAAAAACTTTAATTTGACACACACACACACACATGATGATGATACAAGCTCTGTCACCACTCACTAGTGCGTAACCACACATTTTTTTTTACCTTTGGTGTTTACTGTTCAGTTCTTGAAAAAGGGTATTGGAAATCCACATCTTAAGGAGAATGAAGTGTGCAGAAAGAGCCAAAGTTGAGTCCCACAATCTGACTCACCCAATCCCATGTCCCAAGCATATTAGACCAAAAAAGATGGGAATCAGAGCAAAAGATGCTGAAAATCATTTCTAAATGAGACCACACTCACTATCCCTTCATGGGAATCCCTTTGATTCTGTCACCCTCCCATATCTTGCACAAAATCCCACCTCTCATCTCACCATGTGGCATCACAAATCCAATGAAAAGGAACAAATAAAATAAGATAAAACACATTATTCTAACTCCCTTTTTCAATCTTTCCAAGCTTAACATATGAAAACACTAACTGCTTTAACATATCCAAATTTTACACATCCTAACGTTCACTAAAGCATGTTCTATTCAGGCTCAAAATAAAATAAGCCTAGACAAAAAGAGTTCATAGCCAAAACCATGATGATTCCATTTGCTTCCCTTTTTCCTCTTTACAATCCCCACCTTTTTTTACATTCTGGAAATTAGTTTTTGGAATGTATTTTCAAAACTGTATTTATACAATCCAAAAACTAATTTCTAGAACAATATTGTGCATTCTAGAAATTAATTTTTGGAATATAAATAAGAAAGGAAAGTGCAACAAAAAAATAAGGGAGCAAATAGAATTTCCCAACCTCAATACCTAGCAAGTAACCAACATCTAACATCTATTCTGTTGATTCATTTCTGTCTACCACCTAAAAATGTCTTAGCTTCAATCCTGATCTTTACCCTACCACCACAGCCAGGAGTCATAAATTATGGTGGGGGACGGTGCTGAATTGACATCGCGGCCCAAGGGTTGACAGGCACTGGCCGCCGGATGGTAGGGCCTAATGGGTTGTGATTGTCTGAAGGCGGCACAGAAGGCATGGAGGCCGATGAGGAGGATGCAGATGAGACAGCAACACGCTCACAGGAAGGGCACATTGTAAGAGTGGTTGGAGGGTTCATGTGCATGTAGAGCTGTGGGGAAAACTTCAATGCTCTTAGCTCTTGCACTTCCTTCTGTAGCCTCCTATTGTCATCCGTTAGATTCTCATAGCACCTCTTTAAGTATTCACAATCCACTTCAGTCTGCTTCAGCTTGGTCCTATTGAACCAAAAGCATTGACATCACTTTCTTTTTTTCATTACACAATCCAAGACAAAGTAACACGTGACATGACACACAACAACAAAGCCACATCAATTTTCGTTGCTAATCACACTTTACTTTACTTTATATCACTTTATTAGTTTATCATTGTAAAGTTGGAAATTTGTGTACTTCCATTAACTAAAGAAAAAATGAATGAACTCAAGTAAGCACCAAAGGTTCCCAAATTTGACTTCAAAATCCATCATCACCAAATTACTGCATGTTTGTCAGTGCTGTGGGCCACAGCATACACATGTAAGTTATTTACACATGCCTTAAAATCTAAACCATCCACAACTTTATATACTTTGATGTCTCACAAAAGTTGTGTTATTGATTACATTCAAATTGGTCAAATCTCATCATGAAAGTTGGAGTTGTCTTGAAATTACTGTTAAAGAAGAATGGCATTGATGGGGAACAACAAATCCTTTTAACTAGATAACAACACAATGGGAGCATACATGTTATAAAAACTTGTTTGAAGAAAGACAATAAACAATGTCACAACACAATATTCATCATTCAGTAATCATATACAAAAGTGTCAAGAATGTCCCCTGGATGAAAATCCTCACCTTGCTCTTCTGTTTTGAAACCACACTTCAACCTGTCTAGGACTCAGATTCAACTGCTTTGCCAAAGCTTGCTTTTGTTTCTACAAATAACAAAAATAATTTTGAGACTAAATGCCAGCATTGAATCATACTTCCAACACAAATGAATAATTCAGAATAAACATCATTCTATCCTGAAATTGTAAACAAAGTTTGATTTAGCAGCTGATATTTACAATTTCAATCACTTTCCCCAATAATTTTACTGTCACTTTGTGAAAAGAAAAAAAAGTCAGAATGATTTATCACAAAAGTTAGACATTAGAGTCAATTTACACTAGATTAAGAAGTTATACTAAAATAAGGGCTTTTCTTCGTTTATTTGAAGAATTCATGCAAGGCTTTAAGATGACCCCAACCACAATTTTAGCCACCTGTCAAAAGGTTCTCGGTTATGCACAATTTCTGCCAAAAGGTTCTCGGCCGTGACCACAATTTCGGATGAAAGGTGTATGGTTTCATCTTGCATCATTAACCACCATTTTGGCTGGAATGTAATGTCTTTGGTGTTATATTTTCAGCTTCAAAGTGTTCAGTTCTAGGTCACTTTGACCACACTTTCAGTCAAAATAGCGCATTGCATGAACTTCAATCTAAATCAAACAACACCGAAATCACTTGAAGAAACAGTATCTAAGTTTTGTGGTTACGAGTTTGATTATTCCAAAATAGGCATTATCATTGCAATAGAAATTACAAAAATTTTATCATCTTTGACTCACAGGATTCAGAGTGTTATGTTCCTTGAATGTTTCTTCAAGCACCAAGGCCTGATCTTTCAACAACCTCAGTTTCTTCCTCGACGTGTCGCCATCGGCATCAACACACCCTCCGCCATCATCATCTTCGCTTCCTCCTCGAGAACATGACCCTCTCTCATTCTCCTCTCTTTCGTTCCTCTTCGCACTGATGCTCGAAACTGCACTGTTCGGCGAAGACACACCGTTCTCCTCGTAGCATGGTGCCACCGATGGTGGTGGCAAGTTGACGTCTATTCCAAAGAAGAACGGTAGTGGCTCAGAGCTTCGATTGGTCACATGAGAGGCACCTTAGCAATGATAACATGCGTGGTTTAACAAAGAAATTTCAAAGGTTATAAAAAATGAAGAAAAAAAAAACACCTTGTTCCTGTTTGCATGATTTTCTACTAATATATCAACAACAACAAAAAATCAAGGATGAGTGTTCTTCACAGCATGAAAATTATGAGAANACCACATGAAAGACCAGAAAGGCGTTCAAAAATGGGTTAAGGAACTCATGTAACTGGAAACTGAGTTTGCATGTACAGAGAAAAACCACTCGGCTGTGAGAGGTGAACTTACCAGTCCAGAATCTGAAACTGATCGGTTCAAACAAACGCCCTCGACGCCGGGAGTGTTGAGATGGTGTCTGAGTGGTGATCAGAAGAAGAAAAGATTAAGATTTCTTAGAGAGAAGTAGGAGATTTTTGAGAGAAGGAGGAGAAAATGAAAGTTCAGAACTTTGGGAAAGAAGGGTGCATGCAGAAGTGGCGTGCATTTTTGAAAACTTTGAGTTTTGCTTCTACCGTCAAAACCGAACGTCCAATCTGCATTACACACCTGTCTTTTACTGGCTGATTTTCGAATCTCCTTCCTTGACATATATAATCCACTAAGATGGAGTTTTGAGTGAATTTTAATGGGTCTGACAACTTATGTGAGATTATATCTATCTGAGTTTTACGTAACATTATATCACTTGAAATAATAACATGAACGAAATTAATTCAGAAGAAATAAAGAGTATAAGAAGACTATATTAATTACACCTACACCTCCATCTCCATCTCATTTTTTTAGCTTATTTTCTAGATATTTCAGCTATCCAAGGGACAATTTTTGTTTTACTTTTAAAAGGTGTAATCCCCAAATTATCCATGTATTTAATTAATATATTACAGCCATAATCAAGCACATACCCTATTTTGCTGATTTACTACGTATAATCAATTTTTTTAAAAACAATACTCAAACTTATTGGCGTAAACAATAAAGTTAAACAGATAAAAAGTTATTATAATTTATTATAATTGTAATGTATTATCAAAATAATCTAACATGTCTAGAACACACTAAGGAGAGCTGTTAGTGCTTTTAATGCCTAAAGAATTGTGTAACCTCAGCAGAAAAAGTAAAGAAGAAAATGAACTCACATACACATTACACTGAACATCGACACTTGGTAACTGCTAAATAGGCTTTATATTACTATATGTTAGGTAATATTATCTTTAGCAGGAAACAAGAGCTTAAAGTGGAACAAATAAATAGTTGAAGGGTTGTTAGTTGATCAAATTTCACACGGCACCAGCCACACAGACAAATTCTTTGTAAACCAATCTGATAATAAAACCAAAAACCAAAGTCAAATCCAAAAGGGAAACACTCTCAAAAACAGCATTGGCCAAAGTTACAACTTGAAAGTTGTAGCCATGGCTCTGATATGGTCCATGATGCTACCTTTAATCATGCTTGTTAGTTACTTCCCTTTGAAAAAACTTTAATTTGACACACACACACACACATGATGATGATACAAGCTCTGTCACCACTCACTAGTGCGTAACCACACATTTTTTTTTACCTTTGGTGTTTACTGTTCAGTTCTTGAAAAAGGGTATTGGAAATCCACATCTTAAGGAGAATGAAGTGTGCAGAAAGAGCCAAAGTTGAGTCCCACAATCTGACTCACCCAATCCCATGTCCCAAGCATATTAGACCAAAAAAGATGGGAATCAGAGCAAAAGATGCTGAAAATCATTTCTAAATGAGACCACACTCACTATCCCTTCATGGGAATCCCTTTGATTCTGTCACCCTCCCATATCTTGCACAAAATCCCACCTCTCATCTCACCATGTGGCATCACAAATCCAATGAAAAGGAACAAATAAAATAAGATAAAACACATTATTCTAACTCCCTTTTTCAATCTTTCCAAGCTTAACATATGAAAACACTAACTGCTTTAACATATCCAAATTTTACACATCCTAACGTTCACTAAAGCATGTTCTATTCAGGCTCAAAATAAAATAAGCCTAGACAAAAAGAGTTCATAGCCAAAACCATGATGATTCCATTTGCTTCCCTTTTTCCTCTTTACAATCCCCACCTTTTTTTACATTCTGGAAATTAGTTTTTGGAATGTATTTTCAAAACTGTATTTATACAATCCAAAAACTAATTTCTAGAACAATATTGTGCATTCTAGAAATTAATTTTTGGAATATAAATAAGAAAGGAAAGTGCAACAAAAAAATAAGGGAGCAAATAGAATTTCCCAACCTCAATACCTAGCAAGTAACCAACATCTAACATCTATTCTGTTGATTCATTTCTGTCTACCACCTAAAAATGTCTTAGCTTCAATCCTGATCTTTACCCTACCACCACAGCCAGGAGTCATAAATTATGGTGGGGGACGGTGCTGAATTGACATCGCGGCCCAAGGGTTGACAGGCACTGGCCGCCGGATGGTAGGGCCTAATGGGTTGTGATTGTCTGAAGGCGGCACAGAAGGCATGGAGGCCGATGAGGAGGATGCAGATGAGACAGCAACACGCTCACAGGAAGGGCACATTGTAAGAGTGGTTGGAGGGTTCATGTGCATGTAGAGCTGTGGGGAAAACTTCAATGCTCTTAGCTCTTGCACTTCCTTCTGTAGCCTCCTATTGTCATCCGTTAGATTCTCATAGCACCTCTTTAAGTATTCACAATCCACTTCAGTCTGCTTCAGCTTGGTCCTATTGAACCAAAAGCATTGACATCACTTTCTTTTTTTCATTACACAATCCAAGACAAAGTAACACGTGACATGACACACAACAACAAAGCCACATCAATTTTCGTTGCTAATCACACTTTACTTTACTTTATATCACTTTATTAGTTTATCATTGTAAAGTTGGAAATTTGTGTACTTCCATTAACTAAAGAAAAAATGAATGAACTCAAGTAAGCACCAAAGGTTCCCAAATTTGACTTCAAAATCCATCATCACCAAATTACTGCATGTTTGTCAGTGCTGTGGGCCACAGCATACACATGTAAGTTATTTACACATGCCTTAAAATCTAAACCATCCACAACTTTATATACTTTGATGTCTCACAAAAGTTGTGTTATTGATTACATTCAAATTGGTCAAATCTCATCATGAAAGTTGGAGTTGTCTTGAAATTACTGTTAAAGAAGAATGGCATTGATGGGGAACAACAAATCCTTTTAACTAGATAACAACACAATGGGAGCATACATGTTATAAAAACTTGTTTGAAGAAAGACAATAAACAATGTCACAACACAATATTCATCATTCAGTAATCATATACAAAAGTGTCAAGAATGTCCCCTGGATGAAAATCCTCACCTTGCTCTTCTGTTTTGAAACCACACTTCAACCTGTCTAGGACTCAGATTCAACTGCTTTGCCAAAGCTTGCTTTTGTTTCTACAAATAACAAAAATAATTTTGAGACTAAATGCCAGCATTGAATCATACTTCCAACACAAATGAATAATTCAGAATAAACATCATTCTATCCTGAAATTGTAAACAAAGTTTGATTTAGCAGCTGATATTTACAATTTCAATCACTTTCCCCAATAATTTTACTGTCACTTTGTGAAAAGAAAAAAAAGTCAGAATGATTTATCACAAAAGTTAGACATTAGAGTCAATTTACACTAGATTAAGAAGTTATACTAAAATAAGGGCTTTTCTTCGTTTATTTGAAGAATTCATGCAAGGCTTTAAGATGACCCCAACCACAATTTTAGCCACCTGTCAAAAGGTTCTCGGTTATGCACAATTTCTGCCAAAAGGTTCTCGGCCGTGACCACAATTTCGGATGAAAGGTGTATGGTTTCATCTTGCATCATTAACCACCATTTTGGCTGGAATGTAATGTCTTTGGTGTTATATTTTCAGCTTCAAAGTGTTCAGTTCTAGGTCACTTTGACCACACTTTCAGTCAAAATAGCGCATTGCATGAACTTCAATCTAAATCAAACAACACCGAAATCACTTGAAGAAACAGTATCTAAGTTTTGTGGTTACGAGTTTGATTATTCCAAAATAGGCATTATCATTGCAATAGAAATTACAAAAATTTTATCATCTTTGACTCACAGGATTCAGAGTGTTATGTTCCTTGAATGTTTCTTCAAGCACCAAGGCCTGATCTTTCAACAACCTCAGTTTCTTCCTCGACGTGTCGCCATCGGCATCAACACACCCTCCGCCATCATCATCTTCGCTTCCTCCTCGAGAACATGACCCTCTCTCATTCTCCTCTCTTTCGTTCCTCTTCGCACTGATGCTCGAAACTGCACTGTTCGGCGAAGACACACCGTTCTCCTCGTAGCATGGTGCCACCGATGGTGGTGGCAAGTTGACGTCTATTCCAAAGAAGAACGGTAGTGGCTCAGAGCTTCGATTGGTCACATGAGAGGCACCTTAGCAATGATAACATGCGTGGTTTAACAAAGAAATTTCAAAGGTTATAAAAAATGAAGAAAAAAAAAACACCTTGTTCCTGTTTGCATGATTTTCTACTAATATATCAACAACAACAAAAAATCAAGGATGAGTGTTCTTCACAGCATGAAAATTATGAGAAATGGGTTTCTTATTTAAGCAAAAAAAAGTGTGTATGAAAGAAAAAAAAAAGGACAGTTTTTTTTATTTTAAAAAATAAACATTTGGAGGAAACTAGAAGCCAGGGAAAGGGAACAAGTTAAAAGCATGAAGAAATGAATTGAAAAAAATGGAGAGATTGTGATTAGAAACTTTACCATGGAAATGGAACAAACTATTGAAAGAAGAAGCCCTTTGGTTTGGAACAGGTTGAGGAGGTTTGTGCATTTTGAAAGGGTGTTGTTCATTCATGTTATTATCATCATTTTCTCCCCATCTCAGACTCAACCCCAACCCCAACCCATCATCTTTTTCAGCCATTGTTGTGTCAAAGTGAAGACTTTTCTTTGATTTTGGACTGTGTAGAAAAGATTAGCAAATGGGGTAGACTTTAGTGGCAGTGAGGAAGCTTTTTGAAGAACAGGAAAAGAACAGAACACAGAAGTGTGTGTATATATCTATAGATATATATAGAGAGAGAGAGAGAGAAAGAAAGAAATACTACTGAAGAGGGTGTGAAAGAGAAAACTGAGAAAGAGTAAATAGGCACAATAGAGTTAATGATGAGATGTGTCAGACAACCAAATTGGCTCAATCATCATATGACATGGCTTGTACTGGGTACTACAAAGCAACATTGTCCTATGATGAATTTCAAAGCTTAGATACATATACCATGAAAATGTGGTTGCTTTTTAACCATGGTTGTGTTGTGCTGTGAAAAAGATGAGAATGATGCATTCAAGTCCTGTTTTTGGAGTTCCGAAATTCATTTATTGCATAGGGTTGAAGGGTAATTAGAAGAAAAGTAACTTACCTAATTTAGGATTTTTATATTTTTAAGTTGACCAACTTTAAATTTTATGGTTTTAGTTACAATGCACTTTAAGATATTTTATATACATTTGTTTAATCATGCATTACTACCTGCAACCAGTTAAAGATATTTTCTTTTCCTTTTATTAAAAACCAAATAGGATAAGAAATTTATACTCGATTAAATTTTTTTGGCTTGTGTTATTTAGTTTTATCTATTAATGTTAATAACACGTATTATTTTTAGCTCATTTATCTTAATTTTAATTTTAATATTTATATTTAAAGAGTTTAATAACCATGTATGACCAATAAAAACAAATTGTACTTGCATGCACATATTTTAAAAGAAAAATTAATTAATTATTGTTTTAATGGAGGAATTACATCAATTATTGTTTGAGATGAGAATAAAAATAGAATTATTTTAGGTTAATAAAATAAAAAATATTCTTACTAAAAAATAAAGTACAATAATTCTAAAAACTATATTTTTTTATATAAAAGTAAAAATATAGTATAAGATAATATTATAGCAGTTTCAAAAATTTGTATCCTGATTTACAAAGTATTTGCAAGAAAACTATATAATTTTTTTATACAAACATACTTTTCATTTAATAATAGTGTGTAAAAAGATAGTATAAGTCAATATATACTTATTCATATATATATATATATATATATATATATATATATATATATATATATATATATATATATATATATATATATATATATATATATATATATATATATATATATATATATATATTTATAATTTAAAAGAGTAGAATTGAAATCTAATACTAAAATAAGAAAATAGTAGAAGTAATATTAGTTATTATTGATGTGATTTTTTGTTTAAAGCAACGTTTAATTTGATAAATATAGGTATTTTTATTTATTAATCTTCTAACTCTTTTTAAAAAATGATATTTCTATAAAATCAGTAAAGTGATAATTTTAATTTATTCTAACATCAAAATTATACATGTTCAGTGCAACAAATATAGTACAAAATGCCAAAATTTATTTTGATAAGTTATTTATATTAAGAATCATAAATTTTATTATTATTTTACCAATTTATTTATTCATTTATTTATGATAGTCATGTGATTTGCTTTTTCATGGTTGACTGTTGAATTTGTAGAGCAGAAGAGGCAGAAAAAGATGTGGTTTCACTTTGGAATCATGACCTCATCATAGAGATGATGATAGATAGCTAGGTGTATGTTTATGTGTCATCATTAAATGGGTCCCACTGTTACTAAATATAAAACATAAAGGTAACATTAATTATTATAAAATTTCTCTAAGATCTCCCATATTTTTTCAAGTGAATACTCAAGGCAGAAATGTGTCATAAGTGAACCTACAATTGTAACTAATTATTATATATTAGGTTTAGTAATAACTTATCTGTTTACTATTTATTATGAAAATATTATCACATTATTCATTATAATATATCCATTATATTTATGTAATTATTATTAGCATTCATCATAATATATCCAATATTTATGTAATTATTTTATATTTTGTCATTGTTTTTATAAATTATGGTAAATATACGATGTATTTATTCAAAGTTTTGAGATAGGTATTAAGATATATATGTTTTCTAGTATATACTTATAATATAGCTAAAGAGGATTTATAAAAGTTGGTCATGTAAGAGATGTTGATAGTAAAATGAGATTTTTGATTTATATATCTGTTTACATTATTTGAAATTATAAGATTGTAATGTGTTATTGTCTTATTAACTACTTAAGCAGAGGAGTATATAAGACTTTGAAGTGGGTACTAGCACGTATGAATGAAACATTATTATTAGACATCATAATGTATATATGATTTATCTATAGTAGAGTTGTTAAAAAGGAGTTTGTAAGTGTGTTGACATTGGAAAGTTTATTTTTGAGTATATGTTTATGTTGTTTGAAACTATAATAGTTAAAAGGTTAACTTGCAATTTGTTATGACCTTATTTACTAGTCAAGTAGAGTATATTGCACTCACAGAGAGGGTTAACAAGAAAGTATGGTTTAAGGGGATGATGAGAGATATAGACATTTTGCAAGATTGTGTGATTGTTCATTATCATGGTTAAAATGTTATTTTTCTAGTTGATTATCATATTTACCTAAAGATAATGAAATACAAAAATGTTAAACTACATGAGAGTCATTTTTGAGTTTGAAGAGATCAAAATTGAGAAGATAAAATTGGAGGAGAATCCCACTAATGTGTTTAGAAAGTCTTGTCTAGATTGAGCTTCAAGTAATGCTTGAAGTAGATTATTATTCAAAGATAAAATATTTTTATTCAAAGTCCTATTCTATTTAGAGAAGTCACATAAACTTTTTAAGAAGAGAAAGAAAAATTGTAGGGTTTATTTTATACCAAATAACTTGTAGTCTTGAAATTATTCTTAAATATGTATAAGAGGTAAGGGATATCCTTTTAGAAAATTAGAAAATATTTATCGACGAGCTTTGAATTAACTAAATATTTCCTTATTTCCAAGTATTGATACTAAAACTTAAGTACTGGATTGTGAACATTTACTGGGCTAAGTGATCAACAAGTCAAGGTGTGAAAAAGTCTTTTCTTTTCTTTCATGATCAACTCTACATCCATAAAAATATTGACATTATAATATGATGCTTGTTTGGGACATTCTTTTAAAGATTTGAATGCATGTATGTAGATTTTGTGTTTGTGGAACCATTAATGATTTTCACTACTAGAAAAATCATAAATAGTGAATGAATTTTGTGATTAAATATTGTAATCATTATTGGTAGTCAATTTTATTTTTAAATTAGTGATTTATTTAGAAATAAAACTTTTATTCACTAAACCAATTACTAAAATCAGACATTGTTTTGAAATTATTGAAATAATAAAAGAAAGTGTGAGACAGATTATTTAATCTTTTATTGTCACTCAAGTGCTAGATGTGTCTACTTCATAGTCATGACATTGTTCTTACAACCAGTGACATCTCCCAGATGAAACAATATCTTTGTCACCATTTTCAGACCAAAGATCTTGACAAACTCAGATATTTCTTGGGTATTGAGGTAGTATAATCCAATTATGATATGTTATACCTCAAAGGAAGTAGGCATTATATATGCTGGAGGAAACTAGGTTGATGAGCCTACCAAACTCCTACCAAATCAGGGTGAGCTTATGTCAGATCCTAAGTAGTAAGAAGATACTTTGAAAATTGACATTATCTTTGCAGTCACTATGTTAAGCCAATATTAATTCCCCATGTGAAGATAATTGAAACGTAATCATTCGTATATTAAAGTACATTAATGGATTTTCTAGAAAATGATTGTTATATGGTTCCAATAATCATACAAGAGTTGTTTGTTATTCAGATGCTGATTCGACAACATCTCCTTCTGATAGAAGATTCACTTCTAAATATTACGCCACCATTGATGGTAACTTGATTTCTTGGAAAACCAAGAAACAAAGTGTTCTCGCAAGATCTAGTGCTAAAGTATAATATAAAGTCATGACCTTAGTTGCTTGTCAACTTGTTTGACTTAAGCAATTGCTTACAACGTTACAATTTGGAGATGTTACTCAAATGACACTTATATGTGACAATTAGACTGCTCTTTATATTAGTTCTAATTTTGTATTTCATGTGAGGACCAAACACATTGAGATTGATTTTCATTTGAAAAAATATTATATATAGAGAAATCAAGACTCAGTTCGTTAACTCAAGTGATCAGTTAGAAGATATTTTTACTAAGTCTCTATGGAGATCAAAAATTGATTATCTTTGTTGCAAGCTTGATATATACAATTTATATGTATTAACATGAGAATGTGTTAGATATATTATATTTATTTTTATCTTTAAGTTACTTATCTTTTATTATTTTTTTATTATCTTTTATCTTTAAGTCCACATTTCCTTTATTAGAAATAAAATAACTTATGTGCATTTTCTACATAATCTTATACATAATTTTCACTACATTCATACTTTTATTTAAATCATAAAATAGGAAAATAGCATATTACATACATTAATAAAATAAAAATTATCATGTAAATTTCTCCTTAAATTTGTTCGAATTTATAGTTATTAAAATAATGTCTCTTTCTTTTTTACATTCCTATGATGTGGATTTTTTGATAATGTGTTTATAAGTTTGATGAAAACTATTAATAAATAACATCTAGAAAAATAATTAATTAAATTGTAAATAGATATTTGAAGTGAATTATTATAAATAATTTATTATCATAATTTAATCTATTATTATAAATCAACAATTTATTATTATTATTATTATTATTATTATTATTATTATTATTATTATTATTATTATTATTATAAGAGAGTAATAAATTATTTTTTACGAACTTTATAGATAAATGAATTGTTAATTGGTTATTTTTAAAATAATTGGTTAAATATAGTAACAATTGAATATAAGATACTAAAGCATGACACTAGCATTTGACATGTGATATTGACATTAACACATGATATTAACACTGACACGTGATACTAACATGTGACACTAATTCCGCCTTGACACGACAATAACATTTGTCATGTGACACATTGTTGACTTGATACATAAACAACTTTATTTAAATTAAGAAAATATTAATAATAA